TGAAGTTTGAAAATATCATCCGCCAATGAGCAGCGCGCGAATCTTTCCAACCAATCAAAGGCGACCACAGGCCATTGCGCGATCCGATTGGCAGCTGCGCAAGGATTTCACCTGTCGGCGCCAATTGGCCTCTCTGTGGCAAGGCCAAGAGAGCCCCAACCTGCAGTACGTGGCGAAGAAGCCCGTCTTTACGGCCGACCTGCGCAACATTGGCTTCCAGCTCACGCCACCGACCACTGCAAAACGTATGGCCGCGTCGATGACATCATTCACTGCCAGCTTCGTACGCCGCACAAGAAGATGGTGATTTTCACGGTCGAGTCGCGCGAGGGTCTCGAGCGGCTTTTGGCGCTCATCAAGTCGAACTGGGTGGGCGCCCGCCGTACGTGCGCGAGGCTAAGGACCCGGCACTGCATGCGCTCACTCTGTGAGATGCGTTCGCGCACCACTTCCACGCCGACGCCTCTACGTCCTCTCGACGTTCGAGCGGTCCGAGGTGGTGCCAGCGATGTAGCGTTCCACTGCAACCGACGCGACCTGTGCGCGCTCTCGGTCGATTTTTGAAAACAGATACCGCGTGTCGTTCAAACCGTCGTTTCTGTTGTCGTGCAGCGTCATCGAGAACGCGGCGTCCTTCGGCTCGAGCTCCACCGCGCGCTCTTCACAACCGATGACGCACCTGACGTTGTCACGACACCAACGACAATCGACCCGCCATCAGCGTTGAGCAATGCGGTGATCCTTTGAACACCGGCAAGTGGCAACGCAATCGTGGATGATGCGGCGCAGGATAGTGTGATGGCGACGACGACGCCACAGCGCAAGCACGAAGACGGCAGCGCGCCTCTTTGACCATGCGATTTCAAGCCGCGTCAGAAGCCGAGCTCGTCTCGGGCGACGTCCGCCAACCTCTCGGTTAATGTCGGCCGCTCACGCGGCGTCCGGGCCAGCGAAGACACAATCGGGCGCATCCGACTCGCGATCCGCTGTGTGCAGAACGAGCACACGAGCCTCTTCTGGCCAACGAAGACGATATCACTGTGCTCCATGAAGCGTCCGCTTGGTTCCACGGCGCGTACATTTTTGTGTGGCGCTCTTGGAATGACCCGTGTGTCACCTCGCCACCCACCCCTAACCACAGACAGTGCGAATCCATTTTTGTATCTTCTTTGGTTTAGGCGGTCTATTACCGTAAACACCAAGGAGTTAACGATTCCATGTGTTCATGCGCTCAATCGGCAAGTTACTATGCTTTGCACTCTTGTGCCACAAGATTGCTGCATTATAAATTGACCACTAGAGGAGTAGTGCAGGTGGACACCAAGCCAAAGCACATACTTTAGCGGTGCAAATTTATGCTTACAGTTTGACCGCGAACCGTCCAGTAGATCCTATCCTCCTCAGTACCTTTGACGGTATCTCGACAACCAACCACACGCGAGAGACACTGTTCGAGACCATGCACTGTATTGAAATGGTGTGCACGACAACATTGTTGTCGTCGTCGTCGCTAGCTTACTCTTCGTACCCGTCAAGGTCCGAGTCTGAGTAGAACTCGCCGCGCTTCTCGGCATCGCGCTTGGCCTTGAGCTTGACCTTGAGCTCCTTGCGGGTGAGCTTTCGCTTGACCTTGGTGACGACCTTGTTACCGAAGGCGTCGACCGACTCCTCGGCGTCAATCTGCTCGATCTTGGTCTTGTCTTCCGGGACTTGGCCTTCGATCGAGAGCTGACCAGCGACCACGTTCCACGTCTCGATCGCCAAGGCGTCCGTGAACTCGCGGTGGTGCGAGATCAAGACGACACCGCCGCCAAACTCCTTGATGGCACCCGCAAGCGCACCGAGCGAGTCGCGATCCAAAAAGTTGGTCGGCTCATCAAGCACAAGAATGTGCGGGTTGAGCCACATGGCCGCCGCCAAGACGACCTTGACCTTCTGACCGCCCGAGAGACCGCGCATGCGCGAGTGCGTACCAAAGTCGGCCGCCAAACCAAAGTTGTCGAGGTGCTTCTGCACCGCGATGGCCGTGACGGGACGCGCCTGCATGTTGGCGCGGGCGGCTTCGCGATCGTCGGCGATCTGGAGAATCTTGTCGAAGCCCCACTTCTCGAGCTTCTCACGCGGGATCCACGAGTTCTCCGTATCGGGGAGCTTCATCCACTTGACTTCGTACTCGAACGACTTCTTGAGCTTGCGGCGGTTCTCGATCGACTCGAAGACGCGCTTCTCGCCCTCCCAGTTGACGGGCTTGGAGAGGAGCTCCTTCTCTTCCGGGGTCAGCTTGCGCGTCTCCTTGGCCATGAGCTCCTTGTCCTCGCCGGACTGGAAGCGCCACTGGATGTACTGGTTGGCCGAGATGTCCAAGTGCTGCTCAATGTGGTGGAACGCGTGCTGGGCCACGTACGCAAAGCGCAT